GACACTTTGGGTCCCTTAACTTTGAAATGTTAACATCTCAACCTTTAACTTTGCAAGCTTCATACCGACTAATGCTATGATTATCATTTAAATGATTTAATTATGTAAATCATCCTTTATTTAAATATCTCAATTAATTTAAGATCCTTATCTTAAATTTTAGGATGTTACAGAGACGGAGGCTGAAAAATGAACCCTAATCCTTGGAATAAGATGCTTAAATACGAGAGAAACCCTAATATCTTGGGCTTGGGCCATAACAACTGCCACGTCATGGCCTTCCCCTTTCCACGTCGTGGTGACCATCCAAACACGCATTCTTGTATAATATATGACACGTCGTGGTGCTCCATTCACCATGTAGTGGCACATAGATTTTTCCTAAAATCTGATCTCTGATCCCACCAAGCCCTCACCTGATCCATTATGGGAAACGGGTGTTACATATGATGTTTATAGAGTTCGGATAAACTTATTGTTTAAATTCAATAACCTTACGGCAGGTTTGAATTCAAATTTGAATAAGTTATATGTTTCTTTTTAAATCCAAATTGAACACCAGTCCACTATAGATAGTTACCGCCAAGTCTCATTTATTCACCACCAAAATCAATTTCTCCTCTTTACCTTTGCGATTCATTTTTTTTCTTCTGATTTTAGAGTACTCGTTTTGCCTTTAATGATTTTTCCATTTTTGGTTGAACGAAACGAACAATGAGTACATTAGATCATGGGGGTTTTACGCTACAATGTACAACCATTGGAGAGTGTAATAACAGTTAAGGGCATGAGTCATTACGTGTAGTTACAAAGTCAATATTTGATCGCGAAATATCAAATCGGTTTTTTAACGAAACTTGGTAAACAAGTAATAATAACTAAACTTATTATTCGCAACTAATGGGTATTTAATTATCAATATTATTTGTTGATTTGTTTACTTTTGGATTCTACCGATAATTCATAATTAGTTCACAATACTAATAGTTGGATTGTTTGTAATTAAGTAAGTGTGAAAGACATCATCTACTTAGTATGCAAGTAATAAACATCATATCATATCTAGTCGATGTCGAGTATAATAAGTTGCCCTGGAGTTGCTTGTGCACAGTTACGTCAATCGTATTTCCATGCTCATCTTTATCTAGCTTCATGTTTGTAATAATTGGAATGTCTACATGTTTGTTATCCAACATGCAAAGTCTAATTAATACTTCGAGTGCATATATTTCTGATAAATGAACATGCCTTATTCTCTTTATAGCACTTTGATTCCTAAAATATAACGCATATTTCCCATCAGGTATGTCGAACTGTATCAACATGGATTGTTTGTAGTTCATATAAGAGTCATGCGCTATCACTAGGTATATATCAAATCATTTATATAAGCACTTACAATGACCATATGAACTCTACTGCTATGCTTTGTGAACAATGTTTGCTTAATTGTGTATTTTTTTTAATATTCATCATTGAAATGTGATTCGTTCTTACTAAAACAGGCTCGTGGAGCTTCCTTTAATCTATACAATGTTTTGTGAAGTTGGTATTTCTCTTTAGTATGTATCCCTTTGGTTGTTCTACATATACATTCTCTTTTAATTTTCTACGCAATAATGTAGATTTTACAGTAAGTGGTAGACTCTCCCCTTTTCCATAAGCAATTAAGGCAATGATAGTTCATATGGTATCAAGTCTCATGATTAGAGAGCATTCATTTGGTACAAAATGAGCTTTGTGCTTGATGCCCTCATGTTGATCACCTTTGGTCTTGTAGATCTATTTAACTCTTATAAAACGAGTTTTGTATTTGTTTTACTAAAAGTTAAGATGTTGGAATTTTTCCGTCAAAAGTTGACTCCTTCAACCGAACAATTATTAAACCTAATCTTGACACACCTTCGCAAATTTTGAAATCAAAAGTTAGTGGATCAGGACATCCACGATACATTGAACTTTATACAGTTTAACAGACTACCACATTATCATTCTAATTTTTATATAACTCTACAATTTTCTTCCTACAATACCTTAATTATATAGAAGTTAAAATGTAACATATTTAAAAAAATCATTGATGAAATTAATATTTTTAATCCATTTTAGTTATCATTGTACACCGAATGAGAATGCAAACGGGCAACAAGTTGTGCCGCTAAGTCTTTTTGTATGGTAAAGCCAATTCTTTTGAAGACTACATCCATAAATCTAAGAGATATAACATTGCTATGCATGATCCATTGTACTCTACTAAGAAGCCTCATCGCATCCGACGCAAGGAAACCAAACGTATCAAATGCAAAAGGTATGAACACGTGTTGATTTTCCACACACGATTTCTCATGTTTGGTAACTTTGCATGTAGCAGTTTTTTGCAGCCTGTCCTGCCGTGAAACCACCAACCCTGAAGCCTATGAGAGGGGATACTCCTGTAAGGTCCACACATACGTGTTTCCCTCAAACCCATCCAAAAATCAAAACAATAGCCGGTTAAATGGCCATTAAACTTTATATGAACTTAAACTCTATATGCTTATTAAATAGTTAAATGGCCATTAAACTTTGGGATAATGACTTGAAAGGTAACAAACTTTCGACTTTGTTCACATTTAGTCACTAAACTTTTTTTCGTTATCTATTTGCCACTGAACTATTGAAACTGTTCACATTTTACCCTTATGACCGGTTGTTACCAGTCATAAGGGTAAAATGTGAATAGTTTCAATTGTTCAGTGACAAATAGATAATGAAAAAAAGTTTAAATGTGAACAAAATCGAAAGTTTGTTTCCCTCTAAAAAGGTTCAATGACTAAATGTGAACAAACTTCTTATTGTATTATGTTTTAGCAAATTATTTATTTTTGTTAAATTCTAACAACATTTGTTGATGAAGAAAATCTATGAAATAAAGAAAAAAACAAAACCCCGAAAAATATATTAAAAAAAACGAAAAACCAAAACCGAAATAAAAAACCAATGGTTTGGTATTTTTCAAAATAAAAAATCACAATTTTCCAATCTGATTTTGGTTTTACAAAAATTCAACTTTGGGATTTCCATATCTAAATCTCTCCACCTTTTTATAATCGAAAATGACTATAAAACCAAAAAGAGAATGAGAAAGCGCTCAAGTCGGAATTCTTCTATCCAAAACTCCCCCTTGTGACATGATATATATATATATATATATATATATATATATATATATATATATATATATATATATATAATATATATATATATATATATATATATATATATAGAGAGAGAGAGAGAGAGAGAGAGAGAAAGAGAGAGATGTAAACATCTCTATATAAGGTGGGTTCATACCACATGTAGATGTGTGCTTGAGAGATGTAACATTGAGAGTGTTAGTGTGTGTTAATTATGTAGATTTAGATCTAGATCCTTTTTTGTAAACACCTTTCTTAATCGAATGCATCTCTTAAACACCCAAATCACCGTGTTCATTGTGTGTTCTTTAATACCGCATGTTAAACCAATAGTCATAATTTACATCAGTGAGAATGGTTCATTTTTTTGTAAAACCAAAATCAGATTGGAAATTTTGATTCGAATACAAAAATTTAAAATGTTACATTATTAGTTTTTGTATTCGAATCAAAATTTCCAATCTAATTTTAGTTTTACAAAAACCATTCTCACTGATGTGAATTATGATCATTGGTTTAGCATGTGGAATTAAAGAACACACAAAGAACACGGTGATTTGGGTGTTTAAGAGATGCATTCGGTTAAGAAAAGTGTTTTCAAAAAAGGATATAGATCTAAATCTACATAATTAACACATACTAACACTCTCAATGTTACATCTCTCAAGCACAAATCTACATGTGGTATGAACTCACCTTATATAAAGATATTTACATCTCTCTCTCTCTCTCTCTCTCTATATCTATCTCTCATGTCACAAGGGGGAGTTTTGGATAGAAAAATTCCAAATTGAGTGCTTTCTCATTCCCTTTTTGGTTTTATAATCATTTTTCGATTATAAAAATGTGAAGAGATTTAGATATGAAAATCCGAAAATTGAATTTTTGTAAAACCAAAATCAGATTGGAAAATTGTGATTTTTTATTTTGGAAAATACCAAACCATTGATTTTTTATTTCGGTTTTGGTTTTTCGTTTTTTTAAATATATTTTTCGGGGTTTTGTTTTTTTATTTTATAGATTTATTCATCAACAAATGTTGCTACAATTTAACAAAAATAAATAATTTGCTAAAACATAATACACGATGAAGTTTGTTCACATTTAGTCATTGAACTTTTTTAGAAGGAAACGAACTTTCGATTTTATTCACATTTAGTCACTAATTTTTTTTCGTTATCTATTTGCCACTGAACTATTGAAACTGTTCACATTTTACCCTTATGACCGGTAACAACCGGTCATAAGGGTGAAATGTGAACAGTTTCAATAGTTCAATAACAAATAAATAAAAAAAAAATTTAGTGATTAAATATGAACAAAGTCGAAAGTTTGTTACCATTTTAAGTCATTATCCCTTAAACTTTATATGCGTTAGACATCAACATGACATTCTATTATTATTATTGTATTTAATCCATTGAATTGAATAATAACTAAACATTTCATATAATTGATTAGGCTATACATTGTCGATGCTTTCGTTATAACGAGTAAACATACATTTGCAAGAAAGATATTTATTTTCTTCATCAAAAATATATTTAATAGCTTTTACAATAGTCGACCCAATTGAGCTATTCATTTTGTCCTTCTAATACGACGAAAAATGTTAATTATTTGATATGGTCTCTATCGTGCCAATAAATCATTGGATATCGCACCACCCCGAAAACACAAAAAGCAAAAAATATCCAGATACGCCAGAAGCCAACCACGCGCCACTCGACTCACTCAATCTTATCCCTCCACGTGTCTCATCATCCTACGGCTCAGCATTAACGCCGATTCCCTATATTTATGCATCCATCTTCGTCTTCCTTCATCACTCACTCACTTGAAAACTTCTTCACTTCCCCTGTTATCCGTTCCAATTTGTGCGTATTTCTCTTGAAATTATCGTTATGCTTCTCAAAATCCCTCCCACCCTCAACTTCTTCAACAGCGCCGCCGACAATAATCTCGGCTGTTTTCCGTTCTCATCTTCTTCTCTTTCGACGCCGTCGCCCGTCGTTTGTGCGGCGGTGAAAGGTGGTTCTTCGAACCATAGCCCACTTGCTGGAGTTGTGTTTGAACCATTTGAGGAGGTGAAGAAGGAGCTCAGTCTTGTCCCCTCTCTTCCTCAACAATCTCTTGCTCGCCAGAAATATGCTGACGAATCTGAAGCTTCCATCAACGAACAGATCAAGTAGGTTTTCTTTTTCTCGAGTTAGTTTTTGATTTCTAGCTTCATTAATTATACGGTTTTCACTGCCAGTTGGTATATTTAGTTTAGTAATACTCTATGCTAGCATTACATGTCTCTAGACTAAATAACTGGACATTTCTATATTTTAGAGTGTGATTCTATACAGTTACTCTATGTTTAGATATTGGAACTTTGATTATTCGAACTTAAAACTAGACCTTATCGTGAAGCCAAACTGCCCACCATGTGTATGATAAAAGTTCTTGGAGAATCCCATCATTGCCCTGCATCTTTAATCTGTATGATAAAGTTCTAGCATAACTTCATTTGAAACCCAATTGCCCAACATGTGCTTGATAAAAATACTAGAAAAAACAAGATCTAGTTATACTTGTGCTTTTATCTGATGATATTTCGTGTCTTCTATCAGTGTTGAGTACAATGTTTCCTATGTATACCATGCTCTGTATGCCTACTTTGATCGGGACAATGTTGCTCTCAGGGGTTTAGCCAAGTAAGTTGCTACTACTATCATATATACATAATATATCTCATTATAATGAATCGGAAAGTAAGATTACCTGATGTATTCAGTTATAATACATGAAACTTTATAGATTCTTTAAGGAGTCTAGCGAAGAGGAAAGAGAGCATGCAGAGAAATTCATGGAGTACCAGGTGTTTTATCATTTATCATTTATCATTTTTCACCAATCTCTAGCTTTTTATTTGCTATATATTTGGATCAAAATGATGATGAAATCTTTTTGTTTTCAGAACAAAAGAGGTGGAAAAGTGAAGCTGAATTCTATTTTAATGCCGTTATCTGAGTTTGATCATGAAGAGAAAGGAGATGCATTGTATGGTAAGTTCTGTATATCCCTTCTATGTGTTATAAATGTTCACTTGTAAGCTTCTATATTTATTTTTTTCAATACTTTTGATACTAGCCATGGAGCTTGCTTTGTCATTGGAGAAGTTAACAAATGAGAAACTCCTAAACCTCCATGAGGTAGTTACATAAATGCCCTTTGGTTTTACTTTTAAGCATATAACCAGTCCACAGAAGGATTCAAGTTTCTAATATGCAAATGTGGGGTGAAATGAAATGAAACCAGGTAGCCAACAGGAACAATGATGTGCAATTAGCCGATTTTGTAGAAAGTGAATTTCTCGGTGAACAGGTGAATTACAGATTTCAAAATGAATTTTTGCATTTTGTTGGAGTATAAATTATAATTACATTGACATTTTTTTTAATGTAAATGTAATAACAAAAAAGGTTGAAGCAATCAAAAAGATATCCGAGTATGTTGCTCAACTAAGAAGAGTTGGCAAAGGACATGGTAAAAATTTTGATTTGAATTTTCATCTATTGGTGATTTGTTATAGAAACAATAACCTAACTTTTTATAAATTTGTCAGGTGTTTGGCATTTTGATCAGATGCTTCTGAATGAAGGTGCTGCTGCATGATGAAGAAAAGTTTCTTGTTTCTAGTGTTAAGGATATCATCAAGTTGTAGGTTTAGAGATGGTGTGTGATTTTTGTTTTTCAGTAACTTTTTTATGTAGTGGAGACCTAGAAACCTTCTATAAAAAAAAGTATGCAATATCATGTCATGTGGTTGCAATTGCAATACTATCTTTCTCATTAATGTAATGAACTAAACCTGGTATCACTTTTGTGATCTACTTTCAAGACTTACTATTTTTTTATATAAGACTTCTATTAACCTTATTTTTATAGAAAAAAAAAAATTATATTCTAAGCAATTGATGTAATGAACTAAACCTGGTATCACTTTTGTGATCTACTTTCAATACTATCTTTCTCATTAATGTAATGAACTAAACCTGGTATATCTTTCTCAAAATGGGGTTCAAAATAATATGTTATTATATGTAAGAGTAATAATTGATAGAAGTTCACAAAGTGGTTGGAGTAACCCCTGTAACATTATCTTTATAATGGTATAAAACTTATGAATAAGTTTTTAAGAAAGTAAAAATCTTAAAAAAAAATTTGTCGTTCTTTAACACCTAGAAAATGGTTCGTGACTCGTAGGCATTGCATGGTCAATTACCCTGGTGCAAGTGGTCCTTGCAGTTTGACCAATAACGAATTTATTTTTGGGGGTCACCTTCGGCTATAAGGCCATAAGGGCCCTTAAAATCAAAACACATACAAGAAAATGAAAACATATTTTTAACTAGCGGTTCTCCGCAATAAACTTGTTTACACTGAATGTGTGATTAGATTTTTAAATACTAATCACTTTTCATATGATAGCCAAAAAACTGTCAATACCTAAAAATAGACAACCAAACCACAAATGAGGCAAACACATCTACTGTTTGGACACTCATCTATGGTTTGGTCTCCGATAATAATTTTTTTTGGTCAAAACTGTAGGTGAAGTCACCTACAACATGCTCTCAACAAAGCTACTGTTTGGTGTTTGGATGAACGACATGCTCGTTATGAACAAAATTACAAAATCGTAGGTGAGGGCTACAAATCTACTCTTTCCCTCCTTCAGCTACTATTTCGTTTTTTTTTTCTTGACGGCTATTTTGTTGAAGTTGACTACTATTTCATATTAGTTTGACCAATATATCGTATATATTTTTACTAGTATATATAAAACGAATGTATTTTTGTAACATCTCAAGTTTTGCCATTTGTAGTCCCTGGGGGTGGAAGGGTAAAGCCATAAAGAGCCTAAGGGCTAAATTTCAATTTTGGGACCAGGAGGAGTACGCTGCGGGTACATAAGGGTACGCTGAGCATACTAGGGCGCGCCCTAGTACGTTGGGCGTAGACTTGTGTACGCTGGGCGTACTCATAACAGAATGAAACCCTAATATCTCGGGTTGGGGGCTATATAAACATCCTTATGGCTCATTTTATCTCCTCCTTCTCAGCCTCCATCTTCCAGAATGTCCCCAAACCCTAGTTCTTGTGTGTGAAAATGAGTTGGTGGGTATTTTGAGCTCTTGAAGGCGAAGCCATTGCAACAAATAGTTGAAGAAGGAGATTAGCTTGTAGATATGAAGTTGTGTTGTGCCCTAGAAGCTCCAGAAGGTAAAAAAACTTCAAACTTTATGCTTGTAGGTCATAGATCTAGCCTTTCTAGCATTATGAAACCATTTCTTGTCCCAAAACCCCAATATGGTGCATGATGCATTTTGGACGAGATAAGCTGTCCTTTCTAGACCTTAAAGAGGTCTTAAGTGATAAAAATGAGGTCCCAATGACTTATGATGTCCCATGCATGTAGTAGAAGGGTCTTAATGGATTAAGACCTTGGATTAAGAGCTTTCTGGATGTCCAAAGTGATAAAGTTTGAGACTTTATGAGTCCTAGGCACATTTGGTCACTGGATCTGGAGTTTGGGCTTAAGTGCTTAAGCCATTAAGCACTTATTAGGGTTTTGGTGAAACCCTGCGTACGCCCAACGTAAGTTTCTGTACGCCCAACGTACTGAGTCAATGACCCCGTTTTCCAGTCAATGCGAGACTCGTGTACGCCCCGCGTAGCCTTGGGGTACGCCCAGCGTACGCCTTTTGTGGACTTTTGGTGACTTGGGTTACTTTTTGGGCTAGTAGGGTTTGGGCCTTGCTGGACTTTCAGAGTAGATATGTTTTGGACCAGCTTTGGTGATAGTGGATCATGGGGTTAAGCCCAATAAGGAAGTTGGGCCCAATTTAGTAAATTGGGCCAATAATGGGCCTTGCATAAAGACTTTCAAGGTTATGGACTTGGAATTGGGCATCGGCCCAATAAAAGAGAATGAACATGATGGATTGAGTGGACCCTTAGCCAAGATTGTTATGATGTGTAATGACTTAGTATTTATCATGTGATAGTTCGGGATTTCCGGTGAGATAGCGATTCGGGAGTTGATACTTCAGTTCAGGTCGGCATTGCGAGGTGAGTTATCCTCACTATATCAACAGGATCTAAGGCACCAAGGCCGACCCTTATGGATTTGTATTCGGACTATGGCATGTTATGTTATTGATTTATATCCTGGTAGTTAGGATGAGGATATGCTTATGCTTAGTGACCTGGTTATAGGATGTTGCTATGATTGATGATCTGTTAGATCGGTATCCTGGTAGATAGGATGTTATGCTATTATGATCTGTTAGATCGGTATCCTGGTATATAGGATGATGTTATGTTAGTGACCTGGTTAGGCCGGTATCCTGGTTATAGGATGTTGCTGATGGGTTTTAGGTAAAACAAATAAACTAGAAAACAATTCCTAAGTTCACATGCAACCTACTTTGGATCTATGTTTTAACTATTGAACATATAACTTTGAATTGCAAAACAAGAACCCTAGATGAGGAGGCTATTTTCGAAAATAACTAATTAGGGTTTAAGAGTTACATACCTTTCAATTGTTATAGTAAACAATTGATAATCCTCTTGAACTTGATCTTCTTGGAAGCCTAGCACCACAAATGTAATGCCTCTAATGGAATCACACCCAAGAACTAGCAAGAAGGAAACTAGAAGGAGAGAGAGAGGGTAGGGTATGCAATTTCGGCCCTAGGGTTTCACCAGGGAAGGAGTGGCCGAATTTAGGAGCTGGGAGGCTCTTTATATAGCTGAGGGATCTAGGGTTTAGGGAAAAACCCTAATACTCCTTTGCTTGGGGCCTAAGCTAATCCAAAGTCCTTATCCAAGCCCCTTGGACGAAATCCTTAGGGTTTCCCCTATAGATTTCGTCCACCTCCTTCCAAGGAGGTTCTGGAGCCTTCCACTCAACTATTTGATAATTGCAAACTAGTCCCTGCACTTTATAATTAATACAATTAACCCCAAAATTAATTCTAATTAATTTCTGGCTAACTATTAATTAAACCTTATGATTTCTAATTAATATATTAATCTTTTAACATATTAATAAATCATTTATATTAATTTATTAATCTTATAATAAATCAATATCTCTCATTTCATAATTTCCTTGTCCAGTTGCTAGGTTTGAGGGCAACCCAAAAGGACTGTGCTGCTATCAATTCAAGTACATACCAATTATAGTTATGGGCTTAGACACCTAATCCAACAGTCTCCCACTTGGATAAGTCTGTAACTATGATTGCTAGTATTACTTCTAAATTTAACCAGCAAATTGTAGCTTCCAAAAGCTGCTGCTGAACTCTGACCCAGTCAGTTACGTGTCCTTAGATAAGTGATCATATAATCCTTCGTTCTGCAAGATATCCCCAAACATAAGACATGGAATGTAATCAATCTCTTTGTCCATAATCTATGTTTTCCGATTTCTGATTTGTGATGATGTAGGACTTCTAATTGAACACATCAATTTAGTCCTGGCTGGGCCCAGCACATAAGTCAACACCAAATCATCGAGGGGCCCACATATATCGCTTTTCTGGTTAGGGAAAAAGGAACGAATAAACGTTGAATCATATGCTTGTATCTTTTACTCATCAAATTATACATGACAATACGTTTTATAACACCAAGTTACTGATGCATTTTCGTATCACCAATGTATAACCGACTTTGTAAATTACAACTCATATATCTTCGTTTCAAGATTATAAGATGTTATCGTCTCAATATTACTCGTGATGAATTCCATGAAGTGATACTCTGAGCGAGAGTTTATCCAATACTCAAATCTCAATTTCTGAGTACTCATGAACATTGCAACAATTCTATTGCCATGTCTATCCTTAGACAATCTGCAATCCAATTCACGTCAGTCTTAATTCACTACTTACTTCCAAAAGTATGAGTGAATGTGGAGTTTGAATAATCATATTATTCGGGAAGTAAAAACATGCAAAAATGAAACACAATAATAAACAATTGACAAAAGGCAGTAAACAAACTCATAAATAATACTTTATTATTTAATCACCAAAAGTCAATTACATTTACTTTGTAACAAGTTTCTTAACTAGACTAATCTAACTACTAAAACTAATATCATCTTACAACAGGTTTTTCGCAAAACCGGGCTCCGCCGAAGCAGAGTTTCTGAGCCGAAGGCTCTTCTTTTCGGAGCCATCGGGCGCTCCGGGGTTTCCGCCTCGTGCTAGGGGGTTCCCTAGGCTTTTTTTTTGGGGGGGGGGGGGTTTAGGGCTTAGAGAGATATTCTAGAGAGAGAAAGAAGTGATTGAAGGTGTGAGGAATAAGCCTTCACCCGGTACCTCTATTTATAGGTTGCCAGGGACATCACCACGTTGTGGTGCCTCTCACCACGTAGTGGTGTTGTGTAGGCTCCAAGGTTTCGCCTGGTGCTGACACGTGACATCGCACACATGGTGGAAATCAGCCGATTTTCAAATATTCATAACTTCCGCATACGAGCTCCGTTTTCGACGTTATTTATATCCACGCGTAGGTAAAAATAAGATCAACAACTTTCATTTTGACTCCGTCGGCTAATTCTCGACCGATCTTAAATTTAACAGTAGGAGGAGATTAGACTGTTAAATGACCGCGAAGAATTCGTAACTCCTTCATACAGACTCCGTTTTCGTCTGTCTTTTTATCGTTGAGTTCCTATTAATGAGATCTTAAACTCTCATTCAGGTCGCGTAGGCCAAAAACCGCTCGAACTAAAATTCGAGTTTCGGGCCGTGCACTGCTATGCCAAATCTTAGAAAATTCATAACTTTCTCATACGAAGTCAGATTTGGGCGTT